TGAAGTGTTGCTCCTGCCATGAGGCTCAACGTCACACAATACGACCCAACCTGCTACGTCCAGAAAGCTTTATCGCTACGGGGGCCGGGGGCGGAGCTCTTCGGTTTGAACATCGGTTTCTAAATCTTGCGAGTGAACCAGCTGGACGCCTTCAGGTTTATTCCAGCCTTTGTGATAAATTTTGTTTCATCAGCAGTTCAGTGATTTTCCTCTGAACATCTTTGCTTCTCAGAAAGTCAGATTAGCAGAAGCTAATCGAGGGTCAGACATTTTCTGCTCTAAACTCACCCGGTCCAGCGTTTCTGGAAGTTTTCTGTTTCTGTTCAGTCAGAAACAGAAAGTAAGCGTGATTCAACTGAACAGGAAACGTCTCCATGAAGGCTCACCGTCACGCCGACATTGGTCGGCTCTTGGCCCTCCACCAGCTTGTGAATGGACTGCAGCGCTGCCTCTTTAGTTTGACCTTTGAACCTCTTGGGAGCCAGTTCTTCCAGCGCCTGCTGGAACTCCTTGTAGGTGATGACTCGAGCCGACCTCTGTCTGGAAGACACAGAAATATTCCTTCAACAACCTTCATCTCAGACCTTCACCAGAACCTTTATTCACTCCAAAACCTCCAATGGATCCAGTGCCAAACTGAATCTGCTGCTTGTACATGAGTCATGAGAGGAGACCCCAGCCCGATGTGGATCCGCTGCAGAGAAACTCACTTCACTTTGGAGAAGACGATGTCCACGTCGGTGCCAGTGATGCTCTTCCCATCGATGACCCGGCAGTCCTTGCACAACTTGGCCCAGGCCTTCCCAGTCAGCTCCCTGCCGCTCGCCTTCGTGTCTCCGTAGAGGGAGAACTTCTTGAAGGCCACAAAGAGCGGCTCCACATCCGAACTGACCGCCATGATGAGACGACAGCTGTAGAAGAGCAAAGGTCAGTGAACGCACCGTCACTATGAGCATTTACATGTGAAAACTGTGGAACAGAACCCGTCTGACAACAGGAAGTAGGCAGAAGATCTCAGAAATCAACAAAGCATTCCATAGCGGATCAGAACCAAAACATCAGTCCGTCTAGAAACACTTCAAGAACCAGAACCGTCTCTAAGGTTCTGAACTCCACCTAGACCAGAACCTCCTACAGCTGAACGTCCGATGGTCAGTTTACTACCAGTTTATTACCAGTTTACTACCAGTTTACCAATGTTTACTACCAGTTTATCACCAGTTTATCACCAGTTTACTGCCAGTTTATCACCAGTTTACTACCAGTTTATCACCAGTTTACTATCAGTTTATCACCAGTTTACTACCATTTTATCACCAGTTTACTACCAGTTTACTATCAGTTTATCACCAGTTTACTACCAGTTTATCACCAGTTTACTACCAGTTTATCACCAGTTTACTGCCAGTTTATCACCAGTTTACTACCAGTTTATCACCAGTTTACTGCCCATTTATCACCAGTTTACTACCAGTTTATCACCAGTTTACTGCCAGTTTATCAATGTTTACTACCAGTTTATTACCAGTTTACTACC